GAGAGCTCGCAGAGCACCCCCTCTTCCTCTGAGAAGTCCTCTTCTGATGAAACCAGGCTGGGGCAGACCCTGACCGGTCACGTCTTCCTCTTTCTCAGTATCTTGTGTTGCTGCTTGTTTCACTGGGGAGGGTGCAACTGGTCTATCACCTCTTCATGGAGATTAAACAGCGTCATTTATGGTGCTCTGAATAGACACACCACAGAATGGCATCTAGAGCAATACTCAAACTGTGATTTTGGCTTTACAAGGGGGTTGGACAATCTGATAGAGGACAAGGAGAAGTCTCAACAGTGACTAGCCACGATGGGACGGAGGCAGTGCTGTTCAGAATGCCTCTTGATGGTGGTGGTGGTGGTGGGCAACAGTGAAGAAGAGCCATTGCCTTCTTGCGGGCTTCCTGGTGAGAAAGAGGACTCTCCACCTGATCCTGCAGGGCTTCTTTTGTACGTATCTGTCCCAACAGGACCAGTATGCTGAATGAGGATGGCAATGCAAGAGAAGGTCGGGGGAAGTACACCCTTTGGCCACGCGGAAGGCAAGGAAGAGGGAAGCTGGAGTAGCCAGCTGGAGACAGGAGAGGGTTTGACGAGCTGCTGAGTGAACGAGGCATACGAGTGAAGCGGCTCAGGCCAGGAATCCCACGATTGGTGGGCCACCGTTTTTAATGCCTCTGCTTTGGGTCCCGGGATGCCTGGGAGAAAGGCGGTGTATAAATATTTTAAATAAAATAAATAAATAAGTGAGGGTTCCAAACCATCTAAGGTTAGCTCAGTGGACTAAGATTTAACTCTGGCCAAGTTCAAAGGAGTGAGCAGTCAAACTGTCAGAAAAGACTTTTCCGTGGAGGTTTCCCTTCTGTGTTCTCTCCCTCCTGGCCTCATTTCTCTTCAGATTTAAGAAGTGTTGAACGTCTTTACCATCCAGCCTGAGATGAAAAGCATGATCTCCGAGCCAGAGAGCCTGAGAATAAACCAATTCCATTTGGCGGTCATGAAGTTTTATGAAGTACGGGGCAAAGCAATATTTTTGAAACAAGTAAAAAAATGCACAAACAAAAAGTGATGGATTACTATTTGGTGCTCTTTTTAAATTGGGGTCATACAGGTTGATGACTGAAATGGGAAGGGGGAATACAGTGGTAAAAGCAGCTGTAATCTCTGGGTTTATTGGACAGTGGATCTAACCTTCCTGTCAAGCCCAGCCTGCAGCTCTCAAATGAGTCTCCTGTGGGAAACTAATAAAGTGGTAAAACTCAGTTTCCAGCTTCTCTTTAGAAAATGGGCCACAACAGGAACTGGGGGGGGGGGCCCTGATTCTGACACCATGTCATGTGCCCAATAACCTGGGTTATATAGCCAGGTTAAAAAAAATCACATTAAAATAGGAGCTGCAGAACAATTAATAAGGTCTGCAATCAGGCATTTGGTTTGTCTGGCTGGTTAATTAGACAGAATAAATTGGATGCAATTCTGCAACAGATCAAGCCCCCGCCCCCCAACCCACTGATGGAGACATTAGCAAACACCAAGCATCTGAGCTATGGAAAATAACAGCTAGTTGGGTCTCTGATGAACAATTTTGTTCTGTTGGAGGCTCCTGCAATTTAAGGTACAGGTGGAAAATCAAGAGTGATTTCAGAGAAGCAAAGCAGAGCCAGGAACATTGTTTAGATGTGAGAGGGGGGGGGACAAAAGGAAATGAAATTCAGAATTACGCTGAATCCAATTCGGACCTCATAATCCGGCTCAAAGTAAAGATGACCGAGGGAGGGCCATGATTTATATTTAGACTGCCATCAAATCAGAGGGCTCGTGCCTACATTATGTTGCCACAGACTTGGATTTGCCACTGAATGTGCGCTCCACAGCAAACGGCAGCCAGTCACCCCATCCTAACCCTTGATTTTACAAACATTTTGCATTCTCACACTGGATTTTTAGTTGTGCTCCTAAACAATGTTACATGTAAAGAGTCCCTGAGGAACGGGAAGTGACTGAAGGTGTGGAAACGTCAGCTGAACCCAAAAGGCCCCTCCCCCTTTCGCGGCAGGAAACAAACAGGGATCCCTGCCTCGCCAGGCTCAGTCACTGAAGTAAAACAGACGGTGACCCTTAATTTTAGGCAAACGAAAAAAGAAACCCAACAACAAACCACAGCAGAGTGCCTAGCAATCATTTTGTATGAGCCAGGTGGCCCTTGCTTTGATCAGTTGCCTCCAGAGGCGATCAGAGGTGGCCGTGGGACAGCCGGCAAAGGCACTTCTCTCTGACACGTTGCCCAGGTGGGCCCCAGGTGAAGAAGACAGTCCAGTGGGCTTCTTTGGGGAAGACATGATGGAAGGGAGCAGTGCTCTTGTGGGGGGGGGGCAAAGGAGCCCTGGAATGGGGGCATCGGAGAACAAAGTGCGCAAAGCTGGCATTAAGGCGAGATGCGCCATGCCACATCCATCAGTCTGCTCTTTATGCCCATCAAGTACATACTTTCTCCAGATTCCTAATCCCTCCCTTTTCTTTCGAGCCAGCATGAAATTAGATGGCTTAGAAACAGCACTCAGACATTGAAGACTATGACAGAGTAAAGTAGCTGTCTGACAGCATGGGAAAGCTGCATGGCTGCTGGAAATGACGCGTTCGCAAATGAGCCTGCACGGCAGTAGACAGTCTGCTTTTCTCAATAGGAGATGTTTTGTGCCAGTCTCTTGCTATGAAATGTGGCCCCTGCTCTATATTCTTCCTACTTCTTCCTTTGCATCTGGTAGCATTCACACCCCTACCCACACACTGTGTAGGCCTGACCTCCTGTAGTTTCTGCAATACGATCAGATGAGTAAAATTTCCAACCTCATTAGGATATCATTATTTCAGCATATATGTTACGAGCTCACACATTCTGCATCCCACAGTCCTTGATTGCTTATAAATTCCTACAGGCATCTTTAAAATAGAATATTTCAGTAGCTATAGAAGTGGATATTTTTAAGTAAAATAATGTGATAAAAAAGCACAAAAATCAATTGAGGGAAACAGGATTAATACCTCAACCCCCAGATTCTGATATTCACATAGGATCCAGTAAGTGACCATTGGCTTTATTGAGAATATTCTAAAGTAAGTGCTTGGAGAATTACATGGTAAACTTAGTGTTGTGGAGCGATTTCCAAGATTCTGAATGTAGACCTTGCTTTTTAAAGATCTGTTTACCCCCCTTCTCAATGCTGTATCACAAAATGCTTCTGAAGCTCTGCTCAGGCTCAAAATTGGTTTGCCATAGAGTGGTGCGGAATAGCAGGACTGTAATCCAAGAAACCCGTTTAAAAACAGCCCCTGTAGGGTGCACAGATCTAGCTCTGTAGTTCTTTGGGTCTTTAGAGAATTCTTATCTTCTGGCTTTAAACTACATCAGTGATATATTTTGAATCTGATTTTATTTGAGGTCTGTGTTAATCAATAGGCAATTTTTAATTTGCTTTTTATTCACGGAATTAATGTATACAAATGAATCGGACTTTTTTTGGGGGGGGAGAATATTTAGGGAAAAGTGAGAATCCCACTGTGGTGTCTACTAGTTGCCTGTTGCACTTTTAGGAAGCAAAAACCTATAGACTGAGTGATTATATCTTAAGGCTCACGGAATGACCCAAGAGCCTCTGGGGCTGACAAGGGAGCAGGAAGGCTAGCTTATCAGGCATTTTGTCTCATGGACCAGCCTGCAGGCAAATTAATCCAGTGTTGGACAAGAAAGGTCACCACTGAAAGATAAACTCTCTTTTGATATGCTGGGAAGAAATTTCCAGTCATGATTCATTATGACATCTGCCTTAGCATACGGTGTATTATGCCAAGGTGGATTCACAAAGCCTCTCTGAGAGAGAAAACTATAGCTTCTTACGCAAAGGCAAGCAGTTACAAGGCGGCTCATAAACTCACCGAAGTACATGTATTTAGGTCAACTAGCTATGTAAGAGCTGCCCACCCAGTGGGAGGACAACCTGTCTGAGGAGGGTACTTTAAATACATTTAAATAAATAGCACCACATGCCTATGAACAGCAGTGGGACACCCTTCTTCTCCATTTTAAGGTATGAGAAGGAGCCCTGTCACACCAGGTACAGGAGCAAAACCAGGTGTACCACCCAGCATATGGCCAACTGGGGGCTTACAATATGCCCGCACAATACACAGATTTTCAATTACATATTTGTCAACAATCATGCTTGACTTTCTCAGAAAAATATCATGGGTGTGTGCCTAAAAACAATAATGTGTGAAGGGGCTGTTTCAGGTGACTTTAGTCAAACTAAAGAGAGTCAGCAATTTGGGTATAAAAACATTGTGGGATATGAGAATTAAGATCGGTGCACTGAGGAAGCCTTGTGGAAAGAAAAAAGCTCATCTCAGTGGAAAGCAAGTGCTGGAGGGAGAAATGTACTAAAATATTCTCAAAAGGGTATAATATTTATTGATGGATTCATTAAATGTACAGACATTTTAAAATAACATCTTTCACAGGTCATACATTTACACTAACCAATAAAATATTTTCCCCATGCAATTCGACTATTTTTTTGCATCAAAATCCTCCACAGGTTTAAAAAGAACCCTGAAAAAGCAACACACATTATTTGACTCCTTCACTTGAGCCTTCCAAGAACACAACCAGACTTTAATCCGAACCTCCCTGAAAAGAATGCGGAGTCTGGCTAGCGAGAGCTGCCCTCTTCAGCAGCAGCAGCAGCAGCAGCAGCAGCAGCAGCCGCCATCAGAACTAGGGTTCCACTGACATTCATGAGGTCCGGAGGAGGCTCTGGAAGAAAGCAGTGCCCTTCAAAAGACACCGCAAAGTCAATGCAGATTCTGGAGCTGAGCCAAGAACGGAGGGAAGTTTGGCAGCCAACCGCGAAGTGGCATGGCAGGCAGGCCTCCTTCCACGCGCCATTAAATATGTGATGCTATCATCATTTTTTTTACTTCCCCAAAGGAATGAAATGCTATACAAACCTGGGCTCTTAAATTGATCCGGGCTGGGAAGGTGGTGGAGGGGGGAGTTACTCGCTGAAGCAGGGTGCTCGCTACGAAGCATCTGAGCCACCCGAGGCCCCATGGAACCATAGTCCGCGTACGATAACGGAGCCCGTTGGTCACCGGGCGGAGAATAGAAACCATAATCGGGGATCCCTGGAGATACAGTGACTCTATCATTGTGTGACATTGGACTGATTCTTATTTTCAATATTCAATTGTGTTTTTCTTTTGACAGTTAAAAAGCATGGAAACATAAAAAGCAAATATAGAAAACTGAGAAGTAAATGGACCAAGGTATAAATGTATTTACTTTAGGGAACTTAGCAAGCTAGGATTCGATAAACTCACCATCTGATATACTAGATTTTCATTTCCAAAGCAGGCAGGATGAGACATAAGAATGAAACATAGTGCCCTACTGATCAAAACCACATGTAATACAAGTTATCCCAAGAAATGTGAAGAAAAGCTGAACCAACCAGAGCAGAGCTAACCTGACAATGGCTACATCAATTCATCCACTTAGGCCTTCTTTCTCCATAACCAATTAAACAAGAAATAAATCTCTCCCTCCACTCCCAGTGAACACAAATATGTGATCTGTGTGTGCACACACATACACAGAATCACACAAAACATACACAAAATCACACATAGAGTGCTGTATGAGCACGAAGGTTCTCAAAGAGAGAGAAATACCCCCCTCCCTGAGTTTACCTTAACTGACCTAGAACTGACATCCCAGCTCCTCTGAGATCATCCTCCCATTTTAGTACTGCACAATCACAAGGATCATAGTCTTGGCAGACAATCCCATCTTGTACCATACCTGGCCATCAAACCAGAGGCCACAGGACCTCCATGCATGCAACTGAAGCTCAGCAGTGATTGATTTAATTGGGATGCTGGTTGATTTCAAGTAGACTTCAGTCTAATGGGTTTGGGTCACAGCAAACAAGCAATAGCATGGACATCATTTCCATGAAACCTGTTCACAGCCTCAAGTTGAGGACCCCTAACCCACAAGTACCCCCCGGTAAAGGTACTTGTGGAAACATGGAAACTTGTGGAACATGGAAACCCTAGAGCAAATGAAGCTGAGCTACTCCCCCATTTATTTCTGCAAAGAAAGATCACAGAATTGAGACCATGTGACCACCTCACCCCATCTGTTGGGATTTGAAAGGCTGTTCTTGTCTCCGCTCATTAGGAACAAGAAGTATGAACAGAACAGTAATCTTGCATAAACTATTTTTTGCCTGTTTTTAACAAACCAGATTACAAGCTTATTGCTTCAGTCCAAGGAGAATGAAGGTACAGTTTCCTGTCTGTGGTAAATGCAGAGGAAAGATTAGTTTCTGGTTGCATGACCAAGGTGCAAGCTATTGCTGGCAGAAAATCTGCAAACCAAAATGCTCCTCCACATTTTTATTACTTTTCCATTAAAGTAAGAACAAGTCTGAACTTGCACATAGAGAAGATGAAGTTAAAATAAAAAAAGGGGGGGGGAGGAAGGATTTTTTACATTTAGCATCAACTGCATCATCAGAGGCAGGAAAATTTCTCTCTCTGTTATGAAAACAAAACAGAGAGTCTCCCAGTAAAGTATCCAGAAAAGGGCAGTGTGGGGAGGAATCATTCACAAAAATTACTTTTCTATCCCAAGTGTCCTTTTTTCAGGACAAAGTTTCATGGTACGTTCTTTCTAGTTTTCTCATGTTAGCTCATATATATGGAAGTAGCCATACAATGTGTGCCTTTGAAGAGTCAGACAAGTGATCATTTAGGTCCCAAACATACGTGTGACAAAACTCCCCCAAGCTAGTCAGAGGAATATATGCCTGAGACCAGGGGTCTTGTTGTAGAAAAAGAGCTGCCGGAGCTCATTAGCATAACTCATTAGCATAACTTATTTGCATATGCCACGCCCCCTGACATCACCGGAAGTGACAGAAGGCCACACCCCCTGACATCACCGGAAGTGTGTCAGAATGCCCGGCTACTTTCCCCCCTGCTTCATCCTCATTCCCAAACGGAATGAGGATCGAAGCAGAGGGCGGGGTAAAGAAGGGGGTGGGGCTTCACCACGTGACCGCCCCGCCCCCTAGAGGTTCTCTTCCGGAGCTCCGTACCTGAGAGCTCCCCCCCGACTAGAGCCCTGCCTGAGACACATAAATAGTTCTCTTCTGACCTTCCCAATGCATATCTTAAGCACGCACCCTAAGGAAAGTCACCTGGAGAGGGGCCTCGGCAGAACATCCTAGGAGGGAATTCATTTCCATGCTAGTGTTTAGATTGACTTATTGTCTGTTATTTGGCCTTGCATGGCTTCTCTGTTCAACTGCACTAGCCACCGGGAAGCGACCCTGTATCTTCATGTCGACAGCTTCTCCAGGTTCTGGAAACTGCAAAGAGTTTCTGCCCAGGTAGACATAAATAATTGGTCTCTATTGAGGAGCTGTGCCCAGTGGTAGCCTAGTTTGTAGGGCCTCCAGGGGACACTTAACAAGTAGATGTTCCTTAGAACAATTTTAGTACGTGGAAACCCACCAAAATTTCTCAGAATTGAGGCACCCGATATCCTAATTTAGCTTGTTAACCTTGTTTGGCAATGGAACACAATGCGGAAAGTGCTGCTCTGAACTTAATGTATCACTCCTGGGGTCAAAAGAAAACTCCAGGAAGACGCTGCCTGCCAAAATGTTCCGGGAATGAACGTTCTCAGTGACGACCTGCCGATCCAGCTCCAGCCTCTTTCTCAATCTCCCACTCCTCCACCCCGCCATAAGCAGCCACACGCAATCTGGCAGCCGTTTGCACCATCAGTGTTTATGATAATAACCATGCGTGCTTGAAAGCAGCAGGAAATTTTCAATATAACCATCATTAAGACAAAACGCTTTAAATCAAAGCCATTACTGCTACTGAGAGTTAAAGCTCACAAGATTAGGCCGCTTTTTATCTTTATGAAAAATTCATAGAACAAGCTGCCAAACATCATCTTCCTGCTCAAGAGAGTAAATGATATAATAATATTTAATGCTGCCGATACAGATGAAAGTGGAGACGGAAGCTGCACAATGTACACTAGGAAGACCCTGTTGAACAAGAAGCTTCAGTGCTCAACACATATACCACTGGACAGCAGAACAAGGGGGAAACAGAGGGCTTCCCTACCCCGCCTTACATTTTCGAGACCAACAGGTGTTTTATTGGGGGGGAAGGTGCCCAATGTCTAAGAGCTGAACTAAGTCTTTGAATTGCGGGTCTGGAAGGTCCCAAGAAATGCTCCATTGAAAGGAGCCCTGCAAGCCAAACACATCTGCCTGTCAGCAGTTAGTCACTAAGTCAGGAACAGTTCAAGATAGGACAACATCACAGGTATGAATCTTTGTGACGGGACCCAGACGGTCCCAGGAAGCTGGCCCACCACTTCTTGCCATGGAGCGGTCCTCAGTCTAGGCAATCTGTTGAGAAGGCTGCTCCATAGCTGCAGTGGATGGGACTTGGGTTCCTGGGAGCTAGTCTACCTTTTAAAAATTGTGTCGATGTTAGTGATGGAGTCTTGTTTGAGTAATTGGTTAGGGATGGCGGCCAGTGGATTTTCTTTAACAGCCCACAGAAGTAGGACAAAAGTATATCCAGCGGGAGGGTTTGCCTTCTGAGAGGTATGCGGCACTCAACCTTCAACTTCTAACTGGTTTTGGGTACTCATTGTCCTTCAAATTCTGCATATGCTATTTTTCTGTTTGAGTGCAATTTCTCCCATTAGTAAAATGAGAGTTGCAGCAGAAATGCTTGTAAATTTTATTTACATTCCTCTGGAGTAACAGTGGGCAGAAGCTAGACTATTTGCCTGCTGGTTGCAAGGCTCTTCCAAAGAGTACTATAATTGGGCTGTGATCAGACGTGCGGTTTGATCCATTGCCATTGCGGTTCCCTTGCAGATTTAAAATGTACAATCAGACAGCAACATCTGTCTGCTGTGCCCCAGTCATCTGAGTGCCCCACCTTTACTGCATGTTTCTTTGATACCTGTGAAAGTCCAGTCCTGTTGGTCTGAGTTGGTTCCAAAATGGATTTCCTGTTGTCTGATTGCTCTGTTGCGCACTCAAGCCATCAGGCGGGTCTCACTGGTCTCTTGTTTTCCGGCCACCATATTTTTACTATTTAGCGATGTGCGCATAACTGCATATTTGCACCTCTCTCTCTCTCCCCCTCCATCTCCCACAGGGGCTGCTCAAAACTTTGTTTTCTTTATAAAAAATTTCAAAGGAAGATGCCTCTGTACTTCAGCTTTTTTCTGTGCTTTGGGGAAGGGGTTAATTGAAAACTTTAGAGTCAACTAGCTATGTAAGCAGGCTCATCAGCACTTGTGCGCATGTTGAGAGGACAAACCTTTTTAAAAAATGGCCGACGGCCCCATGAACTACATATGCCAGCAGGCTCATCAGTGCTTGTGGGCATGCTCAAAGGACAAACAAACAAAAATGGTCTGATCGCTCAAGGATGGGGTAAAAGTGCTTTGAAGATGGCTAAAAGGGGTGAGTCTGATCATGATTCTGTTACAAAATGACCTGCATCAATTAGAGGCGAGGCAACAGTGGATCAAACTGCACATCTGACTGCAGCCTAGGTGGACCTTGGTCTGATCCTTATGTCCTAATGCAAGAGATCACTTAACTCTAATTAAATATATCTTAATTATTAAGAATTCCTGAGAATGCACTCTTGCCTTGGGAAAAAGTACAGCACACGGGGCAGTAATTTAGCTTTCCTAGCCTCAGTAACTCATGACTTATTATATTTCTTCCTACATGGAACTAAAAGCAAATGGCACAGAAGGTTTTCAGACAGGGTCCTATCTGGCCACTGACCGGACCCACATCACCTTAGTTTCAGCAAGATTACTGTGCCATGTGGTTTCCAACCATATTGTGGGATCAAATTGGCCTTTGAAAAGTATCTGGAAACAGCAACTGGTTCAGAACAAGGCAGCCAGGATGTTAGTGGGATCATCTTCTGCTAATATTAAGGCATCTGCACCAACTGCCAGGCTGTTTCAGGATCCACTCTAAAGTGTTGTTTGTAACCTGAATAGCTTGGGTTATCGAAAAGATCATATACTAGCAAACAACTGTTGCCTCTGAGGC